CTCCAGACTAAAGCCATCAAGACATTGGGAAAGACAAATCCCATTACCACCAAAGGGAGGGTGGCTGGGACCTGAGGGTGGAGTTGGGCAGCCAGGTTGGATATAAAAAACCAAACACGTGGGCCTTGGGGTCTCTCTGGCTCGCGATTGCTCGCCTCCTGGCTTCACCGCTCCTGGCTGGCGGCCAACTCTGAGAGCACCATTTTGGGATTCCTGATCGGCGGATTGGGTAGGACTCATTTAAAACTTTGTCTCCCACTTTTCTCCCAGAGCTGTACATTTCCTCATTTCCCCTTCCCTTGTAAATAAACCTTTTATTAACCTTTCACGTGTGCCTGCAGTACAGCATTGATAAGTCCTTTTAAGCGCACGGGTGAGGACCCACAGTCAGGCACCCTGTTTTGTATCGGGGTTGCTCTACAACAGTAGGTCTACTAAACATCAATCATCACATACAATTACTAACTTTTTTTCTTTTTTTTCTTTTTTAAAGATTTATTTATTTGTGCATACAAGAGTTGGGGTACAGGCCAGAGGTGTGGGGGGGGGGGGTGAGAGGTTTCACCAGAGACAGTGGAGAGCAGAACAGGCAGATTGACTGAAATACACTGCTGAGGGGAGCAGCAGGCGAGTCAGGAGAGGTCTGCTGCGCCATGTGGGTCACCTCCCTGGCAGGCAGGGGTATCGAACTCGTGCTGCAGAGGCTGCAGACAACTTCACAGTGCTGTGCTTAACCCCTTCCGCCACCAGGGAGGCCCGGTATTGCTTTAAATCTGTAGAATGCTTTGGGTAGTGTGGACATTTTAGCTGTTAATTCTTCCAATCCATGATAATGGACTGTGTTTCCATATAGTTGTATCTTTACTTTCTTTTAGCAGTGTCTTAAAGTTTTCATGTATAAGACTACCTCTTGGTGAAATTAATTCCTAGGGCCTCCCTGGTGGTGCAAGGGGTTAAGAACAGTACTATGAAGCTGTCTGCAGCCTTTGCAGCACAAGTTTGATCCCCAGTTGGCCAGGGAGAAACCCACATGGTGAGGCAGACCTTTCCTGTCTGGCACGCTGCTCCCCTCAGCAGTGTATTTCATCAGTCTGCCTGTTCTGTTCCCCACTCTGTCTCTGGTGAATCTTCTCACCCCCTGCACCTCTGGCCTGTACCCCAGTTCTTGTATGCATAAATAAATCTTTTTAAAAAAATTCCTAGGTTATTTTTTATACAATTATAAATTGAATTTTTTAAAAGATTTATTTATTTGTGCATACAAGAACTGGTGTGTAGGCCAGAGGTGTGGGGAGGTGAGAGGATTCACCAGGAACAGAGTGGGGAGCAGAACAGGCAGATGTACTGAAATAAACTGCTGAGGGGAGCAGTGAGTGAGACAGGAGAGGTCTGCTGCACCATGTGGGTCACTCCCTGGCTGGGGATCAAACTCATGTTGCAGTGGCTGGCGATAGCTTGATAGCACTGTGTCTTCAACCCCTGCACCATCAGCGAGGTCCTGGAATTATTTTCTTTATTTTTCTGATAGTTCATTATTAATGTAAAAAACACAACTGATTTTTGTATGTTGATTTTGTATCCTGCAATTGTACTGAACTTCTTTATTCTAACCGTTTTTTGATGGAGTCTTTATGGCTTTCTATATATCAACTGCAAATAGTTTACTTCTTACTTTCCAAGTTATATGCCTTTTATTTCTTTTCCTTAACTATTACCCTTTTTTTTTTTTTTAAAGATTTACTTATTTATGCATACAAGAACTGGGCTACAGGCCATAGGTGTAGGGGGTGAGAGGATTCATCAGAGACAGAGTGGGGAGCAGAACAGGCAGATGTACTGAAATACACTGCTGAGGGGAGCACCGGGCGAGTCAGGAGAGGTCTGCTGCGCCATGTGGGTAGCTCCCTGCCTGGGGATCGAACTCCTGCTGCAGTGGCTGCGGATTGCTTCATAGGTTGCATCTTAACCCCTTGCACAGGGAGGTCCTATGCTTTATTTTTAAATTTTAGTAAAAATTTAAAGACCACTACCATACATTGGACCCCCTGCACCCATTCTCACATCCATCTTCTTCACCTCTGGTGACCTGAGTTCAGTTATCAGTGTCACATTAGTTTATTTTTATTTTGCTTTGTCAGTTTATCCACATTGTTTCCTTATAGTCCTCATGTATGTGAAATCACTTAATATTTGTCTTTATATTTGGCTAACTTTGCTTCACTAATCCCCCAAGATCCTTTTATTTTGCTGCAAAGGGCAACATTTCATCTTTCTTCATAGCTGAATAGTATTTCATTATATATATATATATATATATATATATATACACACACACACATCTTTTTTTTTTAATAATAAATTTTATTTTTATATTCCCCATACAATTGCAGCCCCCCCATTCTGACCCCAATCTCTCCCCTCCCACCCCCGCCCCCTTAAAAGTGTCTCTGGTTCGTAGTTTTTTGTTGATTTTGATTTTCACTTTCTTATAGTTATTCGTTTTCCTGGTCCCTTATTTAAGTTTTCTAGATTCCTGCTATGAGTGAGACCATCCAGTATTTTTCTTTTTCTTTTTGCCTTATTTCGCTGAGCATGATCCCTTCCAGTGCCGTCCATGTTGCTGCAAATTGCATGTGTTTATCTTTTTTGAATGCTGAGTAATATTCCATGGTGTATATGGACCACATCTTCTTGATCCAGTCATCTATTTTTGGGCATTTGGGTTGTTTCCAAAGCTTAGCTATTGTAAACAGTGCTGCTATAAACATAGGGGTGCAGGTGTTCTTTGGAATTGATGTTTCTGTGTCCTTTGGGTAAATACCTAGGAGTGGAATTGCTGGATCCTATGGAAGCTCTATGTTTAGTAGGTCCAGAAATCTCCACACAGCTCTCCACAGTGGTTGGACCAGTTTGCACTCCCACCAACAGTGCAGAAGAGTTCCTTTTTCTCCACACCCTCGCCAACATTTGTTGTTGCTAGTTTTTTTAATATGTGCCATTCTCACTGGTGTAAGATGGTATATACACATCTTCTTTATCTACTCATCTGATCAGTGGGCACTTGGTTGCTTTCATATCTTAGTTTAAATAAACTGCAGTAAACATTGTGGAACATATAATTTTTTGAATTGTTTGTTTCATACCCAGAAGTGGGATTACTGGATTTTCCTATTTTCAGTGTTTTTTTTTTTTTTTTTAAATTAATTAATTAATTTATTTATACAAGCACTGGGTACAGTCAGAAGTGCGGGAGGGTGAGAGAATTCACCAGAGCCAGAGCAGGGAACAGAACAGGCAGACTGACGAAATACACTGCTGAGGGGAGCAGCGGGTGGCAGGAGAGGTCTGCGCGCCATGTGGGACCCTCACCCCGTGGCCGGGGATCGAACCGGCGCTGCAGAGGCTGCGGGCAGCTTCACAGCCCAGCGCTCAACTAACTGCTGCAGCACCAAGGGAGGCCCTATGATGTATTTTTTTTAATGGTGAAAACAGAAGTAGATTTTGTTGTTAATTTTTAATGGCGAAAACTTAGGCTGGGGTGGGAAGGTGAGCTAGTAGGCCAGGTGAGCATAGGTGCGTAACTGGGAAGGTGGGAGGTCCCCTTGGGTACATCTATACCTCCCTTGTAGAGGCCTGTTCCTGGCTGGAGTGCCTCCTGCCCAGCCTCAAGAACCAGATGGGCCTGCGTGTCCTGGCTGGTGAATGTGTGAGGCCGGCCTTGGCCAGCAGGTGGCAGCACTCCCCAGAGGTCCTGGACTTGGTAGCTGCCACTCTCCCTGGCCTCGGAGGTGTGGAGTCAGGCACCTGCCCAAAGCCCTCCGCTGGCAGTGCAGGCTGCTTGCCTCTGAGGGTCCGTATTTGGCATACTGTGGCCCAAAGTATTTATTGGTTTCCTCTGAGAAGCCAGGAAAGCCAGTTGGTGTAGCTGCTCATGCAGTTTCCGCGTCCCAGGGCTCTCCTCCCAGGAGGGCTGAACGGAAGGACAGGGCGGGGCCTCAGGAGTCAGCCGGCAATTCTGGAATTTTGTGCTTCCTCTTCCCTTAAAACAAATTTGTGGGAAGTTAAAAGGTCTTGGTAGCTGTTTGTTTATGTTTACAAATAAAGAAAGAGTACTTTGTCTCTCTTTGATATAGAGAAATTCAAAGATAAAAACTAAAGTGGACCTTCACAGCCACACTAAGGTTACCCCTGTTGACAACAGAAAATGATAATAAAATAATTAAGACTTGTTTAATGTTTGAAAATTTGAACTACAGAAAGGTCTGACATGAGAAGTAAGTGTTCTCTTCTGTCCACCTTAAGTCTCTCTTCAAAGGAAACCACTAATAAATTTCTTGCTTGCTTTGAGGAAGAAAAAAGAAAACAAAGACTACACACGCACGGATATCTCCAATTTATATTTTGCTTATTTGTTTATTTTAAATAAAAAACTGACCACGTGATATATCTGTCCTCAGGCTTTCTTTTTTCACACACAAAGCCTTGAAGGCCTTCCTAGTGAGCACATACAGCCCTCTGTCCCGCATGCTTTTTTAAAATGGCATGGAGATTTTGGTTGGTTCCAGTTGGGGGCCAAACATAAACAGTGTTGCAGTGGGCTCCCCTGTATATTTATTTTGCCATATTTCTACTGGTCCAGATTCCTAAGGGTGGGTAACGGGAAAGTACATTTTAAATTTGATGGCTAATTTTCCTCCAGAAAGGTTGCCCCAGTTTACATGCCTACCAAGAGTACACGACAGGCCCTGTTCACAGGTGACGGAAGAGAACCTTGCCGCTTTCAGGAGCCTTTTGAAGTGGTAGTTTGGGCCCCTGGCGGGGACAGAGACCAACACCCTTCTGGACCATTAGCCCCTCCACTGCAAATCTCCTTGGTTGTTGTCAGGTGCTCTCTCATTGTAAGAGCACTCCTGGATTTCCCTTATCATTTTACCTTTAGCGAGGTATTCCTGTCTGCCCAAGGTGAGAGAATGAATAACCGTGTCTTCTGACTCTTCCAGGTGAAGAAGGCGTATAGACAGAAGGCCCTCTCCTGTCACCCAGACAAAAACCCAGATAATCCCAGAGCAGGTGAGACTCTAGGCCTGGGAAGAAGGAGCCCTGCTCACTGGACACAGTTGCCTGATCTCAGCTCCCTGTGAGTGCTGTAAGAGCTGACGCACACAGCCTGGCCCAGTACAGGCCCAGAGCAGCACCTCACGTGTTAGGGGTGGCTGATCAGTTGTTGATGTGTTTACCTTCCTTGCTGCTCTGTCATCTATAGATGTTGGCTTTTCTGCCAACCTATGGCTTTTTTGAAGCATTTTTAAAGGGAGTATACCATCACCAAGCCTAACTTTACGTTTGTCTTCTTTTTTCTTTTGATCCTTATGTTTAGCTGAACTCTTCCACCAGCTTTCTCAGGCCTTGGAGGTACTGACGGATGCTGCAGCCAGGGTAAGCACATCCTCCTCTGTCTCAACTGTCCCTCATGGTTAGAGATCTCAGTTATCTGTCCTTGGCCATGTGGCCCAGTCCCGCTAACCCAGGCTGGAGGCTTGGTCACCAGGCTGCCTGGCGAGGGCTTTGAAGGTGGGCAGTGTAGCTGGGAGAGGACTGCACTCTGTGCCTGTTCTCTGGCTGACTGCTGCTGGTGTTCCTCCCGCTCAACAGGCCGCGTATGACAAGGTCAGAAAGGCCAAGAAGCAAGCAGCAGAGAGGACGCAGAAACTTGATGAAAAAAGGAAGAAAGTGAAACTTGGTAGGTGACATCATGGTGCTTGGTGGCCTGAGGTTTCCCTGGGCCATTTTTATGGGCTTTTCTTCATGACGCTTTAGTTCTAGCAATTTAAAGCCTATGGCCCTGGCTCTAGGCATTTTTCTGCTACCAGGGGACAGGTCCGAAGGACACTCTTAAGAATAACAGCAGTGACTAGATTTACTGTTACTTAAGCATTGTGACAAATGTTTTTTATTGCCCCCTTTTAGCAGTGTAGCTGTCTAAGGAAGTGGGTATTACTAAATTCATTTTTATAGACAAAGAAGCACCAGAAGAACAAGAACTTGCTGGAGCTGGGATTTTAATCCCTGCTGTATGAGTGAAGTCAGTTTTCTTTTTCACCACATCATCCTGGGTCTTTTTATTCCTCCCATCCTCATTTCTGCCCAGAGCTTGTACTCTCAGAAAGACCCACAGAAGCATCCAAGAGGTCCAGTCATTCTTTCCTTTTTTAAACAGCTTTTTTTTTTCTTAAAGATTTATTTATTTATGCATACAAGAGCTGGGATACAGGCCAGAGATGCCGGGATCCACCAGATGAGAGGATCCACCAGAGACAGAGTGGGGAGCAGAACAGGCAGACTGACTGAAATACACTGCTGAGGGGAGTAGCGGGTGAGACAGGAGAGGTCTGCTTTGCCCTCTGGGTTGCTCCCTGGCCGGTTGGGGATCGAACTTGTGCTGCAGAGGCTGCGAATTGCTTCATAGTGAGGTGCTTAACCCCTTGTACCACCAGGGTGGCCCTTAAACAGCTTTTTTGAGGTATACTTTGTGTATTATAATCTCTACCCATTTCAAGTATATAATTCTATGATTGTTTTTAAATTTACCAAATGGGGCAAATGTGACTACAAATAAATTACAAAACATTTTTTTTATCACCCAGTTAGATTGGTCTAGGCATACTTGATTTTTTTTTTTAAAGGTTTATTTTATTTATTTATGCATACAAGAGCTGGGGTACAGGCCAGAGTGGCTGGGGGCAGGGGCAGTGAGAGGATTCACCAGAGACAGAGTGGGGAGCAGAACAGGATCATTGACTGGAAAAATACTGCTGAGGGGAGCAGCAGGTGACACAGGGGAGGTCTGCTGCTCCATGTGGTTTAGCTCCCTGGCTGGGGATCGAACTCATGCTGTATTGGTTGCTGATAGCTTCATAGTATTAAGACGTAAATTAACCCCTTGCCCTACCAGGGAGGCGCCAGGCATTCTTGATTTTTACTCCCTTCTTTTTTGATATCCATATATTTAATATGTGTACATGTCATCGTAGTACATGCACTTGCACTTATCAAAAAAATACATGGAGAAAGATTCTGGGCAGGTACAGTACCCAGAAAGGAAGGAAAGATTCCCAGGCCCAAGAGCCCAGCTTGTCACAGTCCTAGCCTGGCATGGGACACAGCAGGTTTCCTTTGAAAGGCAAGAAGGACTCCAGGATCTGGGGTGCTGTCCTCGCACAGCATCTGCCTCCATAACCAGGTCCACAGTGAGGCTGGGTAAATGTGAACTAAGGGGGAGGTGAAGGAGGCAGTAGGAACTTGAGCTCAGTTGTGGCAAAAAATCAAAGCCAAGGCCAGGTTGTAGGTCAGGCTGTGGTGCCAAACTACAGGAACAGAGGCCAGCAGCTCCACCCACTGGCATCCCTGACACATAGCCCTGGGCTGCTGATACATGTACCCACCCACACCCTGTTCATGATCAGAGAGAACCAGCTTAGTCAGCATGAGCAGTTTTAATTCTTCCAGACCCCTGGCCCTTCAGTTGGAGTCTATACTTCCTCTGTGCAATGACTTTCTCAATGAAAATAACTTGGGACCAGAGGGACTTTGGGGCGGCAGCCAGAGCTGAGGTGGGCTGAGGCCATGTAGAAATTGCATAGACCAGCCATTGGGTCATTCAACCCTTGTGCCTAGACCTGGAGGCGCGGGAGCGGCAGGCCCAGGCCCATGGCAGTGAGGAAGAAGAGGATGGCCGGAACACCAGGACATTAGAGCAAGAGGTGAGCATCCAGGCCTGCTGACTTGACGCCATCTGCAGGAGGAGGGCCTGGAGGAGGGGAGACCTAGGTGGCTGTCATGACTGGGGAGGGCATGCCCTTTCCACCTCCTTCTGTGGGGTCTGGGTAATGTGTCCCACCCACAGGTTGCTGAGCCCTAGCTTGCAGGTGGAACCTCCCAGGGACCTTTACAAGGTGAGCCAACCTGGAATTGGATCTGCACAGAATTGTCACCTCCCCAACCCCCGCTCTGCAGATCGAACGCCTGCGAGAAGAGGGGTCCCGGCAACTGCAGGAACAGCAGAGGCTGATTCAGGAGCAGATACGCCAAGAACGGGAACAGAGGCTGAGAGGTGAGATCCAGCCCCTACCCTGCCTACCCCCATGCCTCCCCCTCTGAGGCAGCTCTAGGTTGCCCAGAATGGTCACACTGGCATCTCAGTAGAATCACTGTGGAGGCTTCTACCTGTCACAACTCTGGGCCATCTGTCACTTCTTCCTACCGGTTCTCTGGAGCCTCTTTGCTTTTCACACCACCTGAGAGCTCTTGGCCCTATTTGACTTAGTCTGAGGCAGAGCTGGCCCTCTTTTGGAGCAAATCACCAGAGAGAAAGGCTCTGGGATACTGTGTGGTCACTGCCTACTATCCTAGAAGTTATTCAGAGCTCTTTGTTGGCAGTGTGACTGTGGCCTTTAGCAGTAGCTGGGCACAGCACCCCTGGGGAGGCAGCTCCTCAGGACACAGTGGGATTGTTCCTACTTCCCCACCAGGCTCCTTAGCAGGACAGGCCAGATAAGGCCCTTGGTCAGGAGTGACCTTTACTAGGTCCCACTGGCCCCGGGCTTTGCCTCTTTGGGAGAGCCTCCTACATACTCTACCTTGCTGATTTCCCCAAATTTTCTAGGAAAGACAGAAAATCCTGAAGGCAAAGGAACCCCCAAGCTAAAGGTGAGCCTTGCAGGATCCATGGGCCACCTAATAGCACCATCAGCAAGAATAGATGCTTCTGGTGGCTCAAGGAGTCTCGGCAGGGATGCTGGATCTCTGGGGAACCAGCACCACTGCCCACGTCCTTCCATTCTCCCGCTGCCCGGGATCAGGATGGCCTCTCCAAGCCTGCCATGAAAGGCTGCTCTTAACCCTGGTGGTTGCAGGGCAGCGCTCCCAGAAGCCCTCAAACAAGAGCCGCTTATAGGACTGGAAGCATGGCTGTGGGTGAGCGGGCTGCCTGCCTGTCCTTTTCAAGGGGAAAACATTTTTAGTGGGTGCTTGCTAGATTACAGGTGCCTTGAAGACTGGGAGGGTGTCGGACTGCAAAGCTGAGGTGTGGGGTCTGGAACTGTTCAGGCAGAGGTTGGTGTTCAGTGACGCTCACTCTGTCTCCTCAGCTAAAATGGAAATGCAAGAAGGAAGATGAGTCAAAAGGTGGCTACTCCAGAGATGTCCTCCTGCGACTTTTTCAAAAGGTGTGCCCACCAACTTCCCTCCTTCCCATCATTTCAGTCCTTGTCTCAGCCTAAACCCTCCGCTCTCTATGCCTAAACCTCCCTTAATTTCTCCATCTGCTTGTTTATCCTGGTCTCCCAGACCCCAGGGCAGCCTAGTGATTTCTCCTCAGCCTATGGCCCTCCTCTCACTGGTGTGGCCATGTGCCCCTCCAGCCTCAGTCGCCTGCCATCCTTAGAAGCGAAGGGTATCGCTGAGTGTGTGGGGAGAGAGGAGGTGGCCTCTGGCCCCAAAGCCCCTCCCCCTTCCCTGCCTTCCATCTCGAGCAGCTGTGAGGCTTCTGCCGGTCTGAGTCCCCAGTCCTTTGCCCATCTCTTCATTGCTGTCCTCCTGCACTCCTGGGGAAAAGGCCTTTCTTTTGCATCTTTGGCCCCTCTTTGGGAACTTAACAACACGAAGTTATCTCTCAGCTGAAAGTGCCCCAGCAGCCCTCAGGACAGCCCAGGTTTCTCTGCGTGAGCTGAGTCATGCTGCAGACTGAGCCATGCTTACCGGGCCCCTCTTGTCCCCACAGTACGGAGAGGTGCTCAACCTGGTGTTTTCTAGTAAGAAGGCAGGCACCGCTGTGGTGGAGTTCGCCACTGTCAAGGCTGCGGTGAGTGTTGCGTGAAGCTTTGGGGGCAGGGACCCAGTTCTGTGGGCCCTCTGATCTCAGGTGTCCACACTCCCAGGGACCTCAGGCTGGCTCAGAGCAAGGTTCCCCAGAGCCCCACTCCCCCCAGCCCTGGTGGTGGAGGCACAGCAAGTGAAGGGATGGTGCAGGAGAATGCTCTGGGGGCAAGAAGAGCACAGAACCAACTTGTTTCCTGCTGGCTGCCTAGCTCCATGCCCTCCCCACTTCCCCTGGCAGCCAGCACGCCTCCAAGTTGGGGTTGCACTGTCTTCCTGCCCTTCAAATCCCCTCATTCATGCCCACCCACCCCCCGCACCCTTGCCTGTGCAGAGGGTCAGAGCTTCAGCACACTGCCATGTGAAGGTTGCTCGGTTCTCTTGGAATCTGTGAGCACTGCTCTGCGTCTTTCTGTGGGCATTGAGAGAAACAATTCATGGCTAATTGGAGGGCTGGGTCGGGACTGGATGCTGCTTTTGGCAGGAGCTGGCTGTTCAGAATGAAGTAGGCCTGGTGGACAACCCTTTGAAGATTTCCTGGTTGGAGGGACAGCCCCAGGGTACAGTGGGCCCCAGCCACCCAGGCCAGTCGCAGGTAAGGAGCGAGGCCTCCCCAGCTGGGCCTGCTCGGGCTTTCTGGGCCATGTCCCTTTCGGGCTCTTCTCAGCACCTTTTTCTTCCAGATCCCTTCAGTGGGGGGGTGGAGTGAGCCTGGCAGGCCCGCCCCCGGGCAGGGCTGTGATTGCATGCTGACCCCCTGCTCCTGCCTGCCAGAGGGCCCACCCTACGCAGACATCTTAGACCTTACATTTTGTCCATGTCCCTGTCTCCTACTGGGGTTTTCGTCATCCTTCAAGGGACTTTCCGGGCCCGCAGGTTGCTCCTTGTAGAGTGAAGCATTAGGCATTTAGATGACCCAGTGCTGGGGGCAAGGGCAGAGGATGAGGGCAGCTGCTTCCTTCCTCAAGTCCAGATTTCCAGGTGTGTCTGTGGCTGGCCCAAGAGGGGCCTAATGCCAAGAGGCGTTATCTCCTCCTTTGAAGTAACACTGCTCCCCCGCTGAGCCTAGGGTACAGCCAGGCCTGACTTGTGGCGAAACCCAGACGTCTGGCTGACCTGTGCTCCTTGCTGGCTTAGTCGTCACACCTGTCCCCACTGTAGTGGGACAAAGAACTTTGGGCCAAGAGCTCTCACTTCTCTGAAATGGCCTGTCTGGGAGCCTCAGGCTGATGAATTCACAGCCCCTTGTGGGTCAGAAGGGCTTTGCTCTCATTGCCTTGGTCATGCCGCCTCACTCCGTGCCCCTCACCTGCCCATGAGACCCAGAAACTCTGGGAGTGTGCCCCAGGCTCTGGACAGAGGGAAAAAAGGAAGTGGTCTGAGCCCAATTTGGAACCCTTGTGTGGAGACCTCAATCTCCCACAGTCAAGCCCCAGCTTTTTACAGCCCAGAAAACACTCTGTAGGCTGTGTTATAAAGAACTTTATTCATGAGCGCCTGCATCTAGAGGGAGGCACATCTGCACAAGAGGAGGGACGTGGGAGGCCACAAGGTTTGGGCTGCGGAGGCAGTGTGCATGGAAGCGTCCCTTTTCCACGCTGCCACACTTGGAAGAGCCTAGGGTGTCAGAACCCCGTGGCCTTGCCAACTTGCTCCCATGTCAAGTCTTCTGGCCAGGTCACAGGGAGGGGGCAAGAGCACATCTTGTGGCCTTGACACAGCGGCCTCAGCCCTGGCTCGCAGCCCCACAGTCAGAGGGTCCAGGCAAGGCAGAGTTCCCAGTCCTGGTGGAGGCTTCTGAGGACCTGCTGTGCTTCTTCATGGAGTTACCTGTCCTCTCGCTCTGCCAGTGCTCTCTCGTTCGGGGGGCGGGGGGGGGGTGGGCAGAGACAAGGTAAATCTGCCAGCTTCTGCTGCATTTTCCAAGGACTCCCATCACTAATCAGTCTGGGAATTCCCTGATTTGTAATCTGTGTCTGTGCCTGTGGTTGGCATTCCCGGGGGCACCTTCCTTGGGAAGCTTGTATAGGCTAGTGTCCCCTTTTCTGCTAGTGATTTGTTTGCTCTCTTTCCTGAGTCATATGCTACCTCTGCCTGCCTTGCCCCGCCTACTCTGCCAGCCCCTCCCTCCTCTCCCAGGCCTCCCATGTGCTTCTGCCTTGTCCCACCCATGCCATCGGGCTTCAGTCTGTGATCTAGGCCCATGCTGGCCAGTGGAACTTCCTCCAGTATGTTAACATTCATCTGCACAGTCCATTGTGGTAGCTGTTAGTCATGAGTGGCTGCTGAACATTTTAAATCAACTCTTGCAATTGAGGAACTGAATTTTTAACTGTACTTAATTTAAATTTAAATCAGCCACATTTAAGTTCTGGCTACTCTATTGGACAAGGTCAAAACTTGTCCCTCTCCCCTCAGGTCTCCCCGCCTTCCTCTTCTGCCTGAGTTAAGCCTCTTTTGCCTGGACCTGCCTGTAACCTCTCCCTGTTGACGGTGGCTTCAGAGGGAGCTGGTGCAGGGCACTGACTGTTCTGCCTGCTCTGTGTGTTGTCCACTTTCTGCCACACCCTTGCACCGCCACTCCGCTCTGCTGGTCTAGTGGTTGCAGGCGCCTCCCTTTTCCAGCCTAGCCAGCTGCCTTCAGGGCTCCTGCCAGCAAGTGTCCTGATCATGACATCTCCAGCTTTCCTTTGTGGTCCCTCCAAACTGGGGTGACTTGGAGAACAGTTCAGGACCCTGGATTCCTATCCCTATCTTTTTCTTAGTCCATGACTGTATCCTGCTCCCCTGGGTACCCTGGCTTCTGACTCTTCCAGTCTCCCCACCTCTGCCCATCCTCACCCCATTCAGAAGATGGGCTCACTGGGAAATTGCTCCCTCAGTATCTGCAGAACCTCCTCAAGAAGTGAAATTCCCAGGTCCACTTTGAAGGAGAAGAAGGGATCACTGAGGTCCGGAGCAGGTGTCTTCTGGAAGCAGGGAGTGTCCGAAAGGTCCTCCTCAGAGTACTGGTTGAGGGCGCCAGCCAGGGAGAAGGCAGAGGGCAGGGTAACCGAGTAGGCAGCGGTGTAGGTGGATGGCGGCTCTAGGATATTGGGGCAACTGGAGCTTTCCCGGTAGAGGCGTGGAGGCTTGGGTGGGGCCAGCAGGGTGGCCCGGGGATGCTCATCCCCCCACAGTGGCAGGCGCCGGCCATCAGGCCTCCCTCGCAGCTCCCGGATGACCTCTCGGTTGCTGTACTCCTCGTGGTCGCCACCAGCTGTGCTGGCCTGACTGAGCACGCTGCCCTGTCGCCGGAGTCGCCCCGGCCGCCCCAGGCTCAGCCGCTTGAAGAAGGAGGCATTGCGGAAGGAGCCTTTCCGCCAGGTCTCCATGGGACCCAGGGGAGCCCACAGACCAACCTGGTACCTCAGAATCTGGTTCAGGAGCAGATGGTGACCATTGGTCCCTGCTGTACAGTGAGTGGCAGGAATCAGGGAGACAGCCTAGCAGGCTAGAAGCACCGGCCGCCAGCCTTCTGCTCAGCACAGCCCCTAAGCCAGCGTCGTGTATGGCGAGATGAGATACCAGGAAGAAGTGATTTTGTCCCAGAGAGCAGAGTTGGAAGTTTCCCAAAGGGACAGGAGTGCCCCGGTTACTTGATAGGCCAGTGGGAAAATCCCCGAGAGGAGTCAGCAGCACTTACTGGAGCCCGGGTGAGGCTGAAGCTCCGGCTGAGCCCAAGCTGCAGTGATGTCAGAGATGGGTCTCCTCGCCCTCTGCTGCTTCCCCAGTGCCGGCTCCTCAGGGGCCCGAGCTCACCCTCTGTCCCTGGCCTCAGCGCTCACACTGGCCCGGCAGAGTCACAGCCCTGCCTCTCTGCCGCGGCTCCCTGACTGATTAGTGGCTTGACTGTTTGCGCCAGTGTGTGGCGTGGAGTTTGTGTTGTTGTTTTCAGCTGACTCAGTCAGGTGGGAAGCCGGGTTTCATCCTGAGGTAATTGCAGCATCCGCATGGGGGATCGGCTGCTCTGGCCAACACCCCAGGGCACTGGGAAGCTTAAGATTCCTCTAGGGACTCATCTGGGGGCAGCCCTGCTTTGTGTGTCACCAGGCCGCTTCCTTTCTCGCCACAGCCCAGCCCACTGGCCTGACCGCCCTGGGCCCTGGCAGGCAGAGGCTCCCAGCCCCTGAATGTCTCGTGGGGGTGGGTAGGAGTTAATTGAAAGGCAGGCGTGTGGAACAATTGTTGGGGAAGGAAGAGAGACCTGTCGCTGGTGTGGGTGACTCAGTCCTGGGGCCTGGTGACAGGCCCTTATTAGCAGAGCCGGCAGGTGTGGGGGAAGGAGACAGAGGGTGTGTTAGCGGGAGCTGCCCTGTGCCCATAAGGGGCTGACTCCTCCCAGGGCACAGCACGGGGCATGCCAGGGGTGACTCAGGTCTCTTGGCTGGGCATTGTAACTGGGGGAGGGGGACTTGCCCTCCCCTTGGCTTGACACCCAGTCTTTGGCTCAGTTTCCTCATCCTTCCTTGATGCAGGGCAGGAAAGAGCAGTTGAGGACTAGTCCTGCTGCCTCCTACCCTCTGTGCCCCAGTCCTTCCCTCCAACTGTAGGCCTCCTTTGGGGTCCCTTCTCTCTATGGGGCCCCAGGGCGCTGGCTTGTATTGCCAGCAGTACTCTGAGCCAGGCTCAGGTAGGTGGATTTGGGAGGCAACTCTCCTGGGAACTTCAGTGGCCTCAGAGAGAGTGGGAGAGAAGGGGTGGGGTTGTTGGCAGGAGCAGGGAGGGGGTCCAGGGTGACTGACTCACCAGACTGTACACCCCTTACTCCCAACCAGTTGGCTGAAGCCTGGCATCTTAATCTGAGCCACTCCCTCTTTTTCCTTGGTCCCAACTTTCCTCTGACTTGTTCTACCAATGCACAACTTGGCGCTCATAGAACAGGGGTCAGCAGGTCTCTCTGTGCAGCCCCTCCCACCCCAGTCTGGCTTGGTCTGTGCCAACTCAGGTGGGTTTCACACAGCCTCGGCTGCACCAAGGGAGGAAGTGATTTCATTCCCACTGAGACCTTATCAGGCTGTGGGGTTGGCAGTTCAGGCTCCACCGTAGGGCTGCATCTCCACCCACAGCCTGGCCATCGAGGTGCTTGTTTATTATTCTTTTGGTTAGTATACTGTGGCGCTCTTTACTCCCCTGCACTGTGCTGGCTCAACAATAAAAGAAAGCCTCAAGCCCTGCCCTCCAGAGCCTAGCGTGTGTTTTTAAGAGGCAAAGGGCCTCCTGCTTGTTTCTCCTTTCATGGTGGAGCTGAGTAAGGCTGTGTGTCTAGGGGAGGGCTCCCCTCTCCCAGGTCCTTGGCTGGAGGGACCTCAGGGAGGCGGGCAGGTGGGAGGGGGAGGTGCTCTTGGCCCCATCTGGAAGAGCAGAGTGGATTTTTGCACCTCTGACAGTGTCCCCTCACTTGAAGGAAACCCGTGCGGAGCAGGTGTGGGGGGAGGAAAGGAATGGCAGATGAAGGACTGCGAGGAAATGAAGGGGGATGGGGCCCGGCTAGAGCAAGAGGAAGTGATTCACACGGAAGAGATGAGCCAGAGCTGGCATGGATGTGAAGGGTCTGAGAAGGGGGAGGTGGGGGTGATAACTGGTTGAGACAGGCTGAAGTGGGCGCCAGCTGAGACGCCGGCCTGGTGGTGACGTAGTACTCAGTGCTGCTTCCTTTGAAGGAACATGGGTGAATTGGGATACAGGATGTTCCAGGATGTTCCTGGCATCCTCCCTCCTTGACTCTTGACCGTAGCTCTGCTGAAGGCTGTCCTCTGAGACCCACGTTGTAGGGCTGTGCCCCGCTACCCTGACCCAGGCTTCCTGTCCCCCGCTCTGTCCCCAGGGCTCATTGGTGTCAGAGAGGGACTACGAGAGCCTCGTCATGATGCGCATGCGCCAGGCAGCTGAGCGGCAACAGCTGATCGCCCAGATGCAGAAAGAGGACAAGGCGGGGCAGCCCACATAGCCTCACACCCGTAGCCCTTTTCTCCAATGTCACCAATAAACTTTTTCTTTTGGAGTCTACCTCTATTGCATACAGAGATGTAGGGTGCTGGCTTGCCAAGCATGGCCCTGCTTTCTGGGCTCTCTCTCCGAGGGTGCCACCCAGACCTGGCTCTCCTTCTCCAGGCAGTGGGCAAGCCCCCAGGGAGGCACTGCACGCAGTGCAAGTCGGTGCCAACAGAGCAGAGCAGCAACCACTCATCACAGTCCTTTATTGGCTGGGATCAGCAACATAGGACCCACCCACCGCCCAGTCCTGGGGCTGTGCTGTCCCCTGGTGCCCAGCTCCCGGCCAGGGGCACAGCCTAGCTCTTGCCCACCCCTCAGCCTATCCACAGAAAGTGGCCTCCCCCAGGGCCCTTGAAGCTGGCAGGACAAGGCAAGGGTTCCTGCCCTCCCCCACAGGCTGAAGCCAGTTTCAGAGGAAGCCATTCAGTGTCCTGTGGTGCTGGGCTATGGAAAGTGATGACTTGGGAAGAGAGAAGTAGGGCAATGATGAGGCAGAGGCTTAGGGTCAGGGCCCATGGCAACCATTTCAAAAAATGTGAGAGGGTTACTCCTTGTGCAGGCACCACACCAGTGTCTGGCCCACTCCTGTCATGCTGAGCACACGGAAGCCCTTGCATTCCAGCTTGTCCAGGACTATTCGAGGAGGGTCTTTGACGTAGTACTCAGAGCTGCAAGAGAAAGGGAGAGGGGGAGACTGAGGGAGCCCAGCACAAACTCCCACACAAGGCTAGTATCTGCTAAAGACCAGGCCTGGTCAGGACTCAGCAGTACCTAACTCTGGTTGGGTGCCAGGCTGAGTACACATCCCCTTTCCCTGTCCTGCCAAGCATTTTGCATTCATTATCTCATTTATTCCTCCCAACAGTGTAACAAACATATCATTAGTGCTCCCATGTAGATGGGTTAATACATACAGATACGTATACAGATAGAAACCCATGTTAGCCTGACCACATCCTGTGTGCCCTGAGCCACCCCATTATTCAAGAGCAGTGGCCTGCTCTCCCCGGGGCCCTCCCAGCCGCTGCCCTCCTGACGCCCTGGCTGTGCTGTAGTCTGGAGCAACAAAGTTGGCCCCTAACAGCTCTGGCTCTGGCCTTTCCTAGCGTGGAGAGTGCTTGGTTTGTCTTCTTTCAGGATTGATTCTGAAGGGCCATCAAGTGGGTAAAGGGTTCAAGCCCTAAGCTGGGCTTCTTAAGACAAATGCCTTGTGGCAAAGGGATGGATTAGCTTCAGCCCTCCAACCCTGACCCAGAGAGCTAGGGTCAGCTCACCTCTTCCTCCCCTTTGAACTGGGACTCACTATGGCAACTCTTCTCTGGAGTAGGAAGGAGTGAAGACACAAAAAAAGAAAGCTGCCCTCACTGTTTAGATGGAGGGCCGGTGTGAAGGATGCCAGGGGAGAGGCCAAGGCTCCAGGCAGCTGCTGAGCTGCAAGTGAGGCCCAGGCTGCCTGCTCCATTTCCAGACCTTAGCTTTGCTATTCAGCCAGCTCTTCAAGACAGAAGCCATTCTCTCTGCCTGTCAGTGCCTTGATGGGGTCCAGCTTAGAGATCAGAGGGCCAGGCAAGGAACAGTCTGCTTATAAGATCCTCATGGGATTTTGTCCTGGGGTTCCCATGTGAAGAGAAGGCCATTGGGAAAGCTTTCAGGGCAAACCTGGGAGGGGGGGTGCTGTTGCACATGGGATCCACCCTGCAGGGGACAAAGCCCCAAGATGCAGGCAGAGGGCCTCTGAGGCTGAATATTGCCACTGTCCCTGGGCTTGGTGGCTGTAGGAAGGGAACAGAAACAGGACTAGGGGCTGGCAGGAAAAAGATTCTTAAATGCCACTACTTACAAGTTGTTTCCCAGGACACTTCTTTTTGTGGCCCCCAGATGTCGCATCAGCTCTGGATCCGCGTTCTCATCACCCACTATGGTGGGGCCTACTTCCTGCAAGGTAAGCCGGGATGGCTGCTTGGCTGGCAGCCAGGGAGAGGTAGAAGGCTGGGCCTGTCTTCCCTGCCTGCCTGCTGTTCCTGAGCCGGAAGGAGTGGTGAGGAGCCTTGGGACAGGACCCACTAGCAATCTGGCTGAGCAATGTGGGGTTCTCCCAGTTCTGCTAAAATGAGCTGGGCATTGCTGGATTACTGGCACCTTAAGTCAGGCTCCTTTATGTGTGTGTGTGTGTTTGTGTGCGTACAGCAGAACCATCTGAAGGACAATGGAAAGATGTAATCATGTCCACAAACACTTATACAGGGGTGCTCAAAGCATTATTCATGAAAGCAAACAGTGGAAACAACCTAAATATCAATAAAATTCGATTGTATAGGGCCTCCCTGCTGGCGCAAGGGGTTAAGTTGCAGCACCATAAAGCTGTTGGCAGCCACTGCAGCACTAGTTCAATCCCTGGCCAGGGAGGTGACCCACATGGCTCAGCAGACCTGTCTCGCCCGCTGCTCCCCTCAGCAATATATTTCAGTAGCTCCGCCTGTTGTGCTCCCCACTCTGTCTCCGGTGAATCCTCTCACCCTCCTGCACCTCTGGCCTACACCCCAGCTCTTGTATGCATAAATAAAAAAAATAAATCTTAAAAAAGATTCGATTGTATAGCTATACCACATTTTATTTATCATCATAATAAAATGTGATATATCAGTACATGGAATCTTACTTGGGAATAAAAAGGAATGAAGGACAGATACATGCAACAATGTGGCTGAACTCTGAAATCATTGTGTATGTTGAAGACACACACGAAAGACCACCTGTTACCCTGGGAAGTGGTTCCCTAGGGCTGGGAGGTGGGGAGGCGTGAGTGACCACTGTGACACAGAGGATGGGTACAGGTGGTGGGAATGTTTTAAAATGGATATGGTCATGGCTGCACAATTCTGAATATGCTAAAAAAAATCCCCTGGAATTGGACACTGCAAGTGGGTGAATTCTGGAGTATAGGTGTCAGTGAAGCTGTTATATTATTAAAAAGTCACTTGGGGCGCTCCAGGCCTAGAGAGTGTTTCGTGAAGTCTGGGGAGGGACCCTGGAGTCCACCCTTTTACACCTGCCAGGTGACTGGCCCTCACCCCACTCCCTCCGCCCAGACCCTGCCGCGTCCTTCATGCCAAAGGAGGTGTGGCTGGGGGAGGGTGGGAAGGGGAGAGGAGCACCCTGTTACCTGTTACCCAACTTGGAGGCCTCATCATATTCTGAAGTTGTGCGGGGACTTGGAGGCTAACAGCACCTTTTTAAAAATGAGGAAACTGCGCGCACGGAAAGGGGCGTCACTTCTGACTCCTGGTGTCCCCCCACCTCTAACCCCCTGCCCCCCTCTGCCTCTCTGCCCGTTCTCCCCTAGTGGGTCTTTGCTTTCCCAAGGCTTCGGGGGTGGCTCTTCCTGGAAGTGCCTTCAGGTGCGCTTTGGCGGCGAAAGGGCCGACTTAGCGAAGGTCTTTGAGCGCCACAGCGCGTCCTTTTCCCCAAACCACCTTCCCTCGGGTTCACTTTGTCCACCGCCCGCAGCCGCGGGGCGCCTCTGTGGAGCGCAGCGGGTGCTGAGACGCGGGGCCGGGGCGAGCAGTAGGCGGGGACCGCCAGCGCCCGAGCTCGCCGAGCCCCGGCAGCTGAGCCGAGTCGGGTCCCCGGCCGGGCGCCGCGGCGCGAGGGGGCGTGTTCGGGGCCAGCCCCGCGGGCGCTGCGGGGAGGGAGGTGCCGGGGCGCGCTCGCCGCTCCCCCCGCCGGCCGCGGCCCCACTCCCGGCCGGGTACTCACCACGCGGATCTGGGTGCTGATGAGCACGTAGGGCATGGTGCGCTCGTCCTGGCCCGGCGCCGACGCCAGCCCCTCGGGCTCCGGGACTGAGACCCGCAGTCTGAAGTCCCGTTACTCGGCGGCGGCCGCGGGCGGTGTCAGGGCGGCCCCCGCGCTCAGGGACCGCCCCGCGCCCGGCCAATCAGGCGCCGACGTCCTGGCGCGCCCGGCTCGGCTCTGGGGCCCGCCCCTGCCTCAGGGCCGCGCACGGGGACCCCAGGGCCCACCGCCGGCTTCCCTTGCTGTGGCAGCAAGGAGGGGTGGGTGTTGGGGCGGGGAGAAGCCACTCCCGCACCCCTTATTAGGAGGCCCCTTGGCCTTTGGCGCCCAGCGCGAGTGTAGACCTTGCACCCGGTCGCCGCGACACCCCCGGGAACAGGTTCCAAAGTCCTGCTGGGCCCCGCCCCTGTCCCTGGGAAGGCGGCTAGGGCTCAACGGGCGCCCTTTGGAGCGCTGATCCAGTCCATGCCGTCCAGGGACACCTCTAACGCTTTTAGGGGCTCCCCACTTCTGGTCCCCAAGACTGTTTCTCCAGAGATTCCTTCGGCGCTCAGGAGACAGCGATTGCAGCTAAAATACCACCACCCGCACAGCGCGCATCCCCGGCGCCCTGCCTGGGATTCCTCGAATGCCGGAGCAGAACATCCCAGCTCGCTGGCCTTGTAGGATAATCGAGAAAGGAGTTGAGCGCCGGCCGGCAGTTCTCGGCCCTCCCCGCGGGGCCGGAGGGAACACGGACAAAAACTGGGGCAAAAGAAGCAAGTGTCCTGGCAGCAGCTACTCAGGAGAGCGCAGCGAGCTCACCTCGCGCGCTGCCAACCCTCGTTTGGGTGTGTCAGAATCTGGCAACTCCACATTCCTTATCTGCCTTGTTCTGATTGGCTTCCTGAAAAAAAACAAAGCAAAACAGATAGCCTGCAACCTTTCCTCCCTGGCACCTGAAAAATTTCAGGGGCTTCTGTAGTGTATGCTCTCTGTCTCCAGCTCTTCAACAGAGAAGAGAGAACTACAAGGCAAAGAGGACCATGTACTCCTAAAGGATCCTTAGCCGCCCCATTTATTATTCTATAGTCCCTACTGTCATTCTGTCCCCCCAGGACTAACAGTTTAGCTAGAGAGATGACTTCTGCTTAACAAGGGATTCGTTAAACCGACAAAAAATGAATGCCCAGGACCTATAAGGAACTACAAAGCTGGGGTTTCCCTGGTGGCACAGGGCTTAAAGTCTCAGGGGTATGAAGCTATCGCCAGCCACTGCGGCATGAGTTTGATCCTGGCCAGGCCAGGGAGCTGACCCATAGAGCACAGCAGACCTCTCCTGTCTCCCCTGCCACCCTCAGCAGTGTTTTTCAGTTAATCCATCTGTTCTGCTGCCCCCTCTGTCTCTGGTGAATCTTCTCACCCCCCACACCTCTGACCTACACCCCAGTTTTCGTATGCATAAATGAATAAAATAAATCTTTGTTAAAAAATCCAAAATGTGTGCATTGGGATGGTTTCCCATTCATCTTGATTCAGAGTGCTTTGAGCACAGCTTCCCTTCTGTAAGCCTTGCTTTTCCTCCTGTCGCTGGCAGAAGACAGTGGAGCCGCCAGCACACAAAACTGTCCTTTGTGTGTGACTGAAGGTGGTGGTGATTTTAAAGCATCTTGGGCTTTCCACATCCATGAGGTAGGAATTGAGAAATTCCCAAGAAGGGAAAATGGTGATTATACATTTCCATGGTGTTCAATGTTATTGATACCATTAGAAATCCCAGAAATGCAAATGAAACTATATTTTACATGACAGTGCTTTACAGATTTGCAAAAAAGAAACTCTCTAAAGATCAAGCGTTGGTGAAGCTGTCTGATAACTGAAACACTAATGTTGGGGTTGCAAATTTTATGAATGATATAATCACTTTGGGAAGCAATTTGGCATCTACTAGCAAAGCTGAAGATGTGCTTTCCCTAGGACCCAGCCAAACCTTTCCTAGGGAAACTGACAGGCAGGGGAGCGCCTAACAGCTCTGTGATTATCAAAAAGCTGGAAATAGTCCCATGGCCATGAAGTGAGGTAAGTTTGAGGTAGATTCATACAATGGAAACTGCAGAGCAATGAATGGCTGAGTGAAAAAGCAACTCTTGGAAAAATACAGAATAATTTACAAATATGCAAAACTAAACAATACACTAGTTTTTAAATTTTGTTTCTATATATTTTACATCGTTGTTCACTTTTTCACAATGTTTGCTTTCTTTTTTCAGGTGTAGTCCTCATAAAATTCCCACCACCAATTCCCCATAGTCCCTTGTGCTCTTCCCGCCTTCGTTTTAGTCCCTCTCCCTCCTCCTCCCCTGCAGAATGTCTCTGATGAATAGTTGTCTGTTTATTTTTGTTGTGTTTTTTATTGCTAATATTTTTTCCGTGATCCCTTATTTGGTTCCCCTATTTTCCTCCTATAAGTGAAACCATCCAATATTTTTCTTTTTTCTTTCTGACTTATTTCACTGAGCATAATCCCTTCTAGCTCCACCCATGTTGCTGTGAATAGCATGAGTTTATATTTTTTGCTGAATAGTATTCCATTGTGTATATATATCACATCTTGATCCAGTCATCTATTTTTGGGCTTTTGGGTTGTTCCCAAGACTTACCTATTCTAAGTAGTGCTGCAATAAACATAGGGGTGCTGGTATCCTTTTGAATTAATGTTTTTGTGTCCTTTACGTAGATCCCTACGAATGGAATTGCTCTGTCATATGGTGGTAGCTCCATTTTCAGTAGTAGTTTGAGGGACATCCAGACAGCTTTCCATAGTGGTTGGACCAGGTCGCACTCCCACCAGCAGTGTAGGAGAGTTCCTTTTTCACCACATCCTCCCCAACATTTGTTGTTGCTTCTTTTTTTTTCCTTTAATATGTGCCATTCTTTGTTTTTTTTTTTTAAAGACTTATTTATTTATGCATACAAGAGCTGGGGTACAGGCCAGAGGTGGGTGAGAGGAGTCACCAGAGACAGAGTGGGGAACAGAACAGGCAGACTGACTAAAATACACTGCTGAGGGAGCAGCGGGCGAGACAGGAGAGGTCTGCTGTGCCATGTGGGTTGCTCCCTGGCCGGCCAGGGATTGAACTTGTGCTGCAGAGGCTGTGGCTTGCTTCATAGTGCGGTGCTTAACCCCTTGCGCTTAACCCCTTGCGCCCAATATGTGCCATTCTTACTGGTGTAAGGTGGCATCTCATTGTGGTTTTGATTTGCATTTCCCTGATTATGAGGGATGTTGAACATTTTTTTCATATGCCTGTTGGCCATTTGCATTTCCTCTCTGGAGAAGTTAAACAATACATTATTGATGCAACAAAGAATATGCCTCTCTCTGCTCACTAAATAAGTTCCCCTTAGGCTTAATAAAACCCTGTTTTTTTACATTCCAAGGACAAAGATAATATCACTACCAAGGTAATATCAGAATTACTGATCACCAGATGATGGTGAAAGCAAGCTGGCTGGCCTGGACCAGAATACAAAGAGTGGTGACCTTTGCCCTCTCTCTCCTCTGCTCCCTTGTAGCCCTGGATAAATACCCCTGCACTCTGCCAAAGAGCAGGGCGGTCGTCTTTCAGACACTAGTCTGCGGCCCTCCTCCATTTGTCGACAACCTAAACGACTTTCCTTCTGCTCACACGGTTTCCTCTCACTGGCCCGGGGACTGAGGCTGGCCGGCGTTCCAGGGTCAGAACTGGTGAGCCTAGCCCGGAGGAGGGCGCCATCCTGATTCTCCCGAGCAGCGGCCAGGACTTCCAGGTCCACTCTGTCAGAGGGGCCCAGGCATCTTGGGTGGCATCCTGCCCCCTCCTGTTGAGGAAGGGAGCTGCTTTCCAAAGAGGATGGGGGAGAGTCCCGGTGGCTGCCAAGTTTTGTTTCCTCTGGGGAACCTCCCTCTCCTCTTTGGAGGAGGCACAGCTCTTTTCTCTGCCTCATGGATTCATGTCCGAGGAGATGGAAAGTGGACCTGAAAACCGCGGTCCCCTGGCTGTGGGGTAGTCCTCCAGGGTGTACAGCGAGACAAGTGTACTCGCCTCAAACCTCTGGGAGGGAGGCCGAGGATGTCCCTCAAATTTGGGGTGCCATTCATGTGTAGGCCAGGTGAGTGGGAACTGGGAAACAGTGGGATTTAGTATTTGGAGTTTCCTATTTATTTTAGGAAGTTGGGGATTTAATTTTTTTTTAATCTATGAATAGATTTTTTTTAATATAAATTTTATTTTTATATTCCCCATACAATTGCAACCCCCTGATTTTGACCCCAATCCCTCCCCTCCCCGACATAGAGTGTCTCTGGTTCATAGTTGTTTGTTGATTTTGATTTTCACTTTCTTATAGTTATTCATTTTCCTGGTCCCTTATTTAAGTTTTCTAGATTCCTGCTATGAGTGAGACCATCCGGTATTTTTCTTTTTCTTTCTGGCTTATTTCGCTGAGCATGATCCCTTCCAGCACCATCCATGTTGCTGCAAATGGCATGTGTTTATCTTTTTTGAATGCTGAGTAATATTCCATGGTGTATATGGACCACATCTTCTTGATCCAGTCATCTATTTTTGGGCATTTGGGTTGTTTCCAAAGCTTAGCTATTGTAAATAGTGCTGCTGTAAACATAGGGGTGCAGGTGCTCTTTGGAATTGATGTTTCTGTGTCCTTTGGGTAAATACCTAGGAGTGGAATTGCTGGATCATATGGAAGCTCTATGTTTAGTAGGTCCAGAGAGTTGGGGATTTAATTTTTAAAAAAATATGTTCCATCTGAAAATCTCTTGGTAAAAAATGTTAATTGAGTGGTTCATTGATTAGAACCTGTAGTTAGACTCCTGTATATAAGCAGCAACTTCCATCCCCTCTTCCCCCTAGAAGCCCAGGTCCACCTGACGGTGGGAACAGACTAATGATTTCTCAACACCAGAGCCAGGCTGTCTTCTTTCCCAAACCGGCGCCCTCACACATGAGTATTTTTGATCTGCCCTTCCACGATCTGACAGCGCAGTCCAGCTTAAGTTCAGGTGCTTTGGCAATAGGCACCCTAGCATAACCCCGACTTT